GCTAAATCCCTGGCCCTTGGAGTACTGTCTTTGAAGGTAGTGTTGATAGTAAGATCTTATTTCCAGACATATTTTACTTATAAATTCAGGGTCACTCTTTGTGTGGTACTGAGCCATATTCCTCAGCGTGTTTTTATCCTGAGACAGGATCTTGCTGAATCACTAAGTTGCCCAGACTGGGCTCAAGCTTGCAGTTCTCCTGCCTCAACCTCCCAGAGTGCTGGAATAAGAGGTATACGCCACTACGCCTAAGAATCACATCTGTTTATTGTTCTAGAGCTATTAGGGGATTACTCTGATTATAGCTAAATTATCTATTGTAAATTATTATGGCTGTTTCTTCTTTTGGTAGTATTTTTCTTTTGTTTGAGTGATATCCATGCATCCAACTTCACATTATTCAGCAGAGAATTTCTTTAGCAGCAAATTATCCAGGTTTTTGGCCTGCTGATATTTATTGGAGCTACTTTGTTTTACCAATATGTAGGAATCAATTAACCCAAACCATTATTGTCATACACATATTATAAAATTATACACTGATTTTTATCTCTACACACAACTGTCTTTTCTGGTGGCAAATGATAACTCTTAACAGGAAATTGTTACTTTCTTTCTTTTTATTGAGTTTATTGGTACATTTTAGGTATACAGTACAGTTACATTCATTATTGGGATCTTGTACCTTTATATGACAGGTCTTGGTTCTCATTTTTTCCCCTTGTCCCTGCCCTCCCTTCACCCCCTCCTCCCCTCTCCATTTACAAACACTTTATTTCCATTTTTTATTTTCTCATATTTTTTTCTTATCCCTTATTCCCTTTGCCCTACTCTTCCCACTTTCTGTTATTTTCTATTGGTCTGAATTGACATAAAAATAATTTGTGTAGAGGTTAATCTTTTTATATTATCTATCTTCCATCTATCCAGCTATGTGTTCATCACTCTGTTTGCTCACCGTACTGTGATAAGTAATAGAGGGAATTAAAAGGACACTGAAGACCTAGTCCTGTCTTTAAATAACTAATCATCTCTGTCTTTTTTTAAAGGACTTTAGAATTTGAGGCTTCTAATTTATTTATTTATAGACCTTTTTTAATTTTTTATTTTAATAAATTTTATTTTATCCCCTCTTCCCCTCCACTTGTGCTCCCTCCCTTCCCTGTGTACAAAAGCTTTGTTTCCATTTTTCTATTTTCACTTTTTCTTGTCCCTTCCTTTTCTCCCTCCCTCCTCCCTTGCTCCTCTTCTCATCTGAACATTTTATTCATATTTCTCAATATCTATGATACCTTTTAGTCCTTATTTCCACTTTCAGTTTCTCATACCAGAGAAACAATTCAGTACTTAGGCACGTGTGATTTATTTCACTGAAGAGTGTGGTCTTAAGGTCCATCCATTTCACTATAAATGTCTGAAGCTCATCCTTATGATAGAGCAGTAACTCCATTGTATATTTGAAAAACCACATCTTTATCCTCTCATTGATTGATGGGCACTTGGGCTGTTTCTTTAGCTGTTACAAACTGGGCCATTATAAATATGGGTGTGCATATGTCACTGTGGTGTGATGCTTTTAATTCTTTTGAGAAGATACCAAGTAGAGGAATAACTAGGTCAGATGGAACCTCCAGTTTTAGTTTTTTGAGAAATTACCACACTGATTTCAACAGTGATCACACCAGTCTACACTCCCACCAACAGTAGAGAAGGGTTCCTTTTTCCCCACAGCCCTTCCATCATTTGTTATTGGTATCATCTCTTGAAGAGGGAACTGCATACATAGAAAAGATTAGAAACAAGAATGGCATATGCTAAGCCACAGTAAGTGATCACAAGGAAGATATTTGGGGCTGGAATGATCTGGTATATTGACTAAGTTTGAGGAACGGGTTAATATTGTGGGGAAAGTACAGCAAAGTGAACTGAATGACCAGTTTTTCTTCTACACAACTTAAAATTGTACAGCTTAGGACAACAGAACTTCATTTTTTCTCCTCTGGAAATTAGGAACAATGATCATGACAATAGCTTCTCTTTCTCTTTTTCGTTGATTTATGAATCATACTTTAAAGTGTGATTTCAACTTAATGTTGTGTTGTTTTCTTCAGCTATTACAGTGTTCCTACTCAAATATTAAGTAATTAAGAAATGTGAAAATTGTAGCTGGAGAGTAGAGCAATGTTGGTTATTTAATATGTATATATGTGGGACTCTACCAAGAATGTTTTATGCACTATAATTTAATCACCTTTACAACAGTCCTAAGAATCAACCATTATTATCCCCCTTATATAGAGGGAAAAACTTTGGGTCAGATATTGTTATTGGTAAGGTGACACACCTAGTAAGTATAAGAGCAGTATCTAAACCCAGATATGTCTTACTTTTAAGCTTGTGTCCTTACCGAATACTTTTCATTATATTGCCATATCACACAAAAGCTATGCTAATTTCAAAGCCACACAAAGTGGTTTAATATGTCTAGTAAATCAGAAGAAGAAATAAGTATTTAAATCATACATTATTTTAAGAAAAGTGGCAATAAAGCTATAGAGGAAACAAAAGACTAGTTCATAGAGGATTAATATGCCATGTGATTTAAACTTGATCCTCTGAGGAATGAGCAGCCACTGAAGGTTTCAAGTACAGAAATAGCATCATTCCCTACCTGGCAGAGAGTTGGTGCTCAGCACAAGTAAAATAACCAAATGGGTTTGCCTTTTAGAAAGACTGATTCTGTAACTGTGGTACCAATTTTGGAGGGAGCTGGAAAATTACTGTAAGACTTTCGGCAGGCCAGGGAAGTATAAGCTCAAGGTCCTGAGTTCAATCTCCAGGACCAAAAAAAAAAAAAAGAGTTTGGGCAAAGATGGCAGAGCCTGAGCCAGCTGGTACTGGTCAGAGCCAATCACGCTTATTCCTGAAACTTCAATTGCAATGACTTAAGGCTGTAGCTTGAGGTTAACCAGAGTGGGAGTACCTACATCACAGAACGTGGCAAACATTACAAATGAGAGCTTTCTTTGTTTGAGAGCTGATTGATATGCACATTACTGGTCTGAACAAAAGCAACAGCAATGGGACTGGAGAGGAGGAGACACATCCTAGGATAGGAGATAGACTCAGCATCCTTTAGGTTCATGGAGGTGCAGTGTCAGTTGGGGAGATTCTAAAATGATTTATCAAGTTATTGGCTTAGGTCTTTGATGTGGAAAACTGGTGCTTCTAAGAGTTCAAGATAGAAGAAAGATGGTGAACTTTGTTCAGGGAGAGTTGAAGCACATGTAAGGCATAGTGGTGAAAATCTCCAGAAGACAGTGGTTATATGTATATGGAACTCAAAGGAGAGATCTGGATTTAATATAAAGTATGGGAATCATGAGGATGTAACTGACAGTTGAAGTTATGAGACTGGATGAACTTTCAAAACAAAGGGAAAGAACCCTGGAAAAGACTGCGGTAAGTTTTTGTTTTATAAAGCAAGTATAAATGAAAACATATGTCTTTTGGTCCAAAGACAGTTTGAGTAAGTAGGCAAAGCTATATAGTTCTTTGTAAATACATTTTCAAGAAAAATATCAATGCAATTTAAATGAGTTTTAAAGATGATTGGTATCTGATGAAAACAAATATGATTGATGTGATTTATAAGAACTCTGTAAGAATTTTCAAAGTGACACTTGAAAACATTTTTTAAAATATTTTTAAATTATAAATACTTTATATCAAACATCTGAAAGAAGAAAAACATTCTAGAAAAATAGTGAGGAAACAAAATTATTTTAGAAATCATCTTAAATGAAATTATGAGGAATTCTATCCCATACTTGAACCTTATTTTGGCACTGTGTTGTAATTACTTCTTTGCCTGTGCCATTAGACTTTAACATAGAAATGCTGTCTTTTATCTACCTATTTGGTGACTTTTTAATAGTAGATACTCAGAAAAATTTGTTTCTTCTATAAAAGAATGGAGGTTTGAATAGATGACCTGGAAGGTCCTTTTTAACCCTGAAGGTTTATGAAAAGGGAAGTGGTAATAATTGTTTACCACGTGAAAGAAGAAGTGGGCTTAGTCCTGGGTGGCCCCAAAGGGCTAGTGTTTGGCAGTTACAGAAAGGTGGCAGATTCTCAGCTCATTACATTTTTTACACTGGTAAGAAAATTTTAACTACAGCTATCCGGTAGAAGAAAGGCTGTCCCAAGAGGCGGTTATCTTTTAAAAGAACTGATACTCAACAGCTGGAAGGGCCCTTAGATATCTTTAGATCTTCCTAATCTTTTTAACACTATTGCCCGCACAGATAATGTTATGTATACAACACAAATCAACACTCATACATCATATCAATCAGTATCGCAAGGTGTACTTGTCATACTTTTTCGGGGCCTTGGTTGAAAAAAAAACTCATCTACGGGGCTAGGGATTTAGCTCAGTGGCGCCGCGTCTGCTAGGCAAGAGCAACGGCCTGAGTTCAGGTCCCGATACCAAAAAAATTCATCTAGTCCATCCTGTTTGCAGAGGGGAAACTGAATCTTATTGGGGATACAATACTCCCAAGAAACAACTCGAATGGAATATTAATTCCAGGGCCGGAACTCGAATCTGCGGTCCACTAGCCTAAGTCTCCTCTGCTCACATTAAGCAGAGCTGGAGAGGAGCTCTACTGTCCAGCATAGCAGAGGAGAGGACAGTCTTAATCCAGTTATAAGTGTGGCCCAGGACCTTTGCATTAGAACTTGTTAGACGATGGAGCACTGTTAAATAATATACATTAATGAGTCCCACGCATACAACCCCCCAGCAGCCCCGCGGGAGGTCACGGGAATCTGCATTTGCAGGTTTGTAAAACCCCTGCTCTCCGCCCTCTATTTGAACTTTGAGCTCAGCTACTACCGGCTCCGCTGGACTTGCGCAACCGGAGCAGCACGGACTGAACAGCTGTCCCTTGCGCTTGCCGTACACTGACTGTTACGTGCAGCCTTTGGGCCGTCACAGGGCCACGCCCACTGTGCCCAGCCCAGTGAGTGCGCTGCGGTCCCACAACCAGCGCCCAGACCAACTAAGGGACGGACTGAGGGGGGCCATCCGGGGCAGAAGTGGATCAGCAGCGCCCCCTAGAGGCCAGGCCCTCTGCAGGCGAGGGACCCGCAGTTATCGTACACTGCAAGGACACACTCCGTCCCTTCCCTTCACCCCCGCCCCATGGGGACTCACCACTGCGCCTGCGCAGGTTCTGCTCTGCCCCGCCTCCTAACCGGACGTGGACTGACTTCCCACAGTGCCTCGCGAGTGGCGGGCATGATAACACCACCAGCAGAGTAGCGCGGACTTCAGTTGTGATTACCCGTGGTGTTCATTGCCGCTGTGGCCGGGCCATTGCTTTGTCGGCCGGTGAGATGGCGCTCCTCCGGGGTGTGTGGGGCATGCTGAGGGTCCTGGGAAGGTCTGGAGCAGAGCTGTGCGGCTGTGGAAATAGTCTGCGCTCACCCTTCAGGTAGGACTGGTCACCCTTGCCACGGGAGGCGACAGGGCCGGGGACGTCTCAGGGCTGGAATGTAGACGCTGTCCCCCAATTTCTGCCACTTTGGCCCTTTGATGCAGACATCAGGCTTGGCAAAGGCATGTGAGACCGAGCCTTTATCCTTATAGTCCCCGTGTACTTACTACTACCCTCCACTACTTCCTCCCCTCCCCATTCTAGCCTTTAGCACAGATTGGGCTTCCTCGGTGAATTCGCGCCAAGAGTCTCGTGCCATTATCCAGGCGTTGAAAGTGCAGAGCTCAGCAGCTGGACAATAAGATGCTTTCTTCCATTTACCCTTGCTAGGAGATAAGGACTATGGAATTTCAGTCCTGGAGGCCCTTCCTTTTGGCTAGGGTAGGGTTTTAAGTAAGTCAGGAGATCTGGGGATGAGAGAGCGCCCAGCACCACATGACAGAGGGACCCCTAAAAGGTAAATGCTATTAGCATTCTTGGTGAAAGTATCAGGTATATAGCATCTTGATAACGTCTTTTTTTGGAGTAAGTTCATGTACTGTGAATATCAGCGATTAAATGCTGATGTTGGCCACTGTGTTCTCTTTTGCATGGTGGCCCACCCATCCGCTGTAGAGTGTACTACTTTTCCTGTTTTTACCTGGTCCAAACTCGCTCGTCAGAAGCTGTTCTTTTTCTACTTTTAATAAAACTTGGCTACCAAAAAGGTGCCTGACGTTGATTATTTTTTTTTATATGTAGTTTTGTGTATGTTCCGAAATGGTTTTCATCTACCATGAATGGATATCCAAAGAAACCAATGAATTCATTCCTTCGATATACTAGAGAAAAGATGAATATATTCAGAGCTGAATACCCAGGTAAGGAGTTTGGGGGCTAGTACTCTATTCTGATATATAAAAAGCCCACCTAAGTAGTTAAACAGTAAACTTGATGTACACTTCCAAAGCTTCTATTCACTGCTAGAGCAATCATTTTGTTTGAAGGTCTGTAGAATGTGTAACATTTCATTACCAAATAGAAATACTTGAAAAAAGAACTAATGACATGTTTTATTTTATTGGTACTGGGGATCAAACTCAGGACCTTGCGCTTGCCAGGCAGGTGTGGCAACATCAAACTACATCCCAGCCCAACATGTATATTTAAGATAACTTGGCCTGGGATGTAGCTCAGTGGTGCTGCTGTTTACCTCTCAAGGGCAAGATCCTGAGTTTGATCATTGGAAAAAAAAAAAAAAAAAAGAAAAAGAAAGAAAAGAAAAAAACAAAACAAACTTGTAGTTTGGAGAGCACCCTGGGAAGAGAATGAAGAAGTTGAATTTAGAGCCTTCTTGCCTTCAGCTTAGGTACCACTGACAAATTTTTTATCTCTTGCTTTTTCTGCTCTTGTTTTTTAATTTTTATTTATTAATTTTTTGAGGGGGGGTGTTTTGAGACAGGGTCTTGCTATACAGTTCAGGCTGGCCTCAAACTCACTAGGTTACCCAGGCTGGCCTCAAACTCAAGGTGATCCTCCTGCCTCAGCCTTCTGAATGCTGGGATTATATACCACCACACTCAATTTAGGTGCTGCTTCTGCCTTAGGGTATTCATGTAGTGGCGAAGAAGTAACTTATGTGGAACTATTCCAAAACTAAATTACAGTTTATGAATTTCATTCTTTCCACAATTCTGGCTGCAGAATTTGTTCCATGTGGATTAGGGTTAGTAACATATTGCAACCAGAATTGTGGAAAAAATTAAGTTCGTGAACCAAGGTACCGCTGTACTGTTAATTTCAAGAGTTTTGTTTTGTTTTTGTTTTTGTTTTTTCATTGAAAACTGTCTCTTTGTTCCTGAAAAAAGATTCCTGGATACAATATTTGTTGACTGTCTAAAAAGCTTTAATAACTTAACTGCTTGTGATTTTTAAGTACTTTTTACATGCAGTACTTTCCAGGACACCTGTGAAAATCAAAAGAGCTATAATAAACATTCTCATATTATAGATGAGGAATTAGTTTTAAAAAAACTTGTGTAAGTACCCACATCTTTTTCATGTAAGACTTGGAACTGACACTTGGTTGTCAAATCACTTGTACTCCAGCATTCCAGTTAAGCAAGAAAGAAAATAGAAAGTAATGGACTAACTTAAGAATAGTTTGTTTCTAAATGAGATATATACATTTGATTCCGGGGATCGAATCTGGGACCTTTTGCTTGTGAAGCAGGTGGCAGAATCACTGAGCTAAATCCCTGGCCCACTAAGTGCTATTTTTTGTAATTGAAATACAAGGTGTTACATGAGTGAAGACCATGTTTTGTGGTTTAGTGGGGTTTTATGAAGTTAATAATTCCTCTCAGGAGGAAAAAAGTTAGATTGAAATATGAATGTAAAAAATTTGAAGGAATTTATAAACCCAGCTGCTTCTATTTTGTTTTCTTTTTGTGATATTAGGGAATGACCTCAGTGCCTTCCCACAGAGCTATATCTCCAGCTATTTTTAAATTTGAGATGGAGGTCTTGCTAAGTTGTATGGGCTTGGCTCAAACTTGCCATCCCTCTGCCTCAGCCTCCCAGAGTGCTAAGATTAAAGACATGCAACACCACACCTGGCTACTGGTAGTCAATTTCTGGGAATTGTTTTTTTTATAGTCTATGATGTACTCCTTAGTAGACTTCTCACATTGTTGGATGAAGTTTTAATTTGACAGACTTAATTTAGTTATATAAAGAAAAGTTAAATCATTGTAGTAAGTATGGTATAGAGTGTCTAACTGAAGTTGCTTTTAAAGCTAATAGATTGTATTCTTTTTAGAAATTAATCCTGAGACATAAAATTCTGACATCTTTTTTTCATTTTATTCTAATTCATAGAATTAAAAGTTGCAGAACTAGCGAAAAGAATTGGAGAGCAGTGGAGGGAACTTCCTGATGCTGAGAAAAAAGTAAGGCTGTTTCTTCAACATTGCAAACCAGTTATTCTGCAGTTAAAAAAATTGTGTTTAAGAACTAGATGGCCCACATTTTGTTTTTAACATCCATTGTCTATAAGGTAACTTTATACCCCTGATCCACATAAATGATGAAAATGTGAATGCATAGGAATAAAGGTCAGTGGTTGGCAGCAATTTGAAAATAATGTCTAATTGGTACTCTTATGTTGATTGCCAATTATATGGAAAATACATCTCATCCTAGAGCACATTTTTCCCTATGGTTCAGTCTGTCTTTATCTAAAGTCATACGTCTTCCTTGACAAATGCACTATATTGAATTTGCGAGTAGCAGTTCATTGACTTTTTCTTTGTTTGTTTTTTTTTTATGTATAGATCTATGAAGATGCTTATAAGGAAGAGTGGAAGGCATACAAAGAAGAGGTGAACAGAATCCGTAAAGCACTAACTCCAGCTGAATTGGCAGAAAGAAATCTACAAGGACTTTATAAAAGGAAACGAATAATAAAAAAGAAAGTAAGTATCAGTGAAATATTGTGTTCCTGTTAAAAAGAATTGAAATTCACATAATTATGAACATAGGTAGCTTTCCCTTATTTTGATGATGATATATATATGATGTGGTAAAATGTCATTGGTTGTGTTCTAAACAGGCAAAAATAGGAGAATTCTTTAGCCACTGTGGTCACTTGTCATTGAGTCTATCTTGGAAATCACTGATGCTACTTTCACATGTATCCAGATTTGAGAAATGTATTTGATAGGACTGGTATGAAAGCTGTAGAAAAACTTATAAAACAGCCAAACCAGGAGCAGCAAGCATCATTGCATTGTAGCCTTGTGTAGAGGAATCCTCTCATTGGAGTTGTTCTGTAGGTAAAGGAGAATTTGATACTGTCACACTGCTAAAAAGACTGAATTCATTCATTAATATAGTACAGAAGAGTGCCAATTTGCAAATCAAGTCAGATGTATCTTTAGAATAGAATTCTTTTAAAAATTTTTTTGTTTTTATTGGTATGTGTTTGTAGTATATGAAGATTACATTTCTTGTGAAGGGTTGGTACGTGTACATAACACATCTTCATTCTTTTTATCATCCATTCCCGCCCTACTTCTTCCTGCATCTCTTGGTACTCATCCCTTTAGCAAAAGATCTATCTCCCTATTTATTTTTATTTTATTTTATTTTATTTTTTTGTTACCAGGGATCAAACTTAAGACCTTGTGCTTGTGAGGCAGGTGGTGTCACCACTGAGCTAAATCCCTGGCTCTCCCTATTTATTTTTATCTTTTATTTTCCTCTTTATGTTTTTAGTTTCTCATTTAAGAGAAACCATAAGATACTTACCTTTCTAAATATGACTTATTTCACTTAACAGTATAATCTCAAGTTGCATCCATTTTCTACAAATGGCAAGTTTATCCTTTATGGGAGAGTTATACTCCATTTTATATAAATACCACTGTTTATTTTTTTATTTATTGATCACACATAGGCCACTTCCAAAATTTAGCTATTATGAGTTGTGCTGCTATAAACGTGGTATGTGTGTATCACTGTAATATGATGTCTTTAACTCTTTCAAGAAGATATCTAGAGGAGAATAGCTGGGTCAAATGGAATTTCTATTTTTTACCTTTTTTGAGGAACTCTATAGTGATTTCCTTAGTGATTCTACTAGTACACTTCTAACAACAATATAGAAGGGTGCTTTATTCCCATATATTCTAACCAGCATTTGTTATTTGATTTTGCGATGGTAGCAATTCTTTCTGGAATAAGGCGGAATCAGTGTTGCTTTAACTTGCATTTCTCCAGTGGCCACCAATGTACATTTTTTTTGTATATTTATTGGCAATTTGAACTTCTTTTGAGAAGTGTCTGTTCATTTCAGTTGACCATTTTTTGATTGGGCTTTCTTTTGAGGAGGGTGTTATTTTTCTGAGTTTTTTATATATTTTAGATATCAGTCCTCTATCCAAGGAATAGATGGCAAAAGTTTTTTCCCATTTTGTCATTTGTCTCTTCACTGTGTTGTTTCCTTTGTTGTGCAGAAGCTTTTTAATTTGATATGATCCCATTTGTTAATTCTTGGTATTATTCCTTGTGTTATTGGAGTTTTGTTCAGAAAGTCCTTGCCTATTCCTATGTCTTCAAGAGTTCTACCTACTTTATCTTGCAGTAGATTGTTTCTGTTTTAACATTTACATCTTCGATCCATTTTGATTTTAGTTTAGTCCATGGTCAGAGGTGTAGGGGTCGAGGTTCAATTTACAGCTAGAGGGTTGCCAGTTTTCCTAGCACCTTTTGTTAGAGGCTCTGTTTCCTCCAGCATATGTTTTTGGCCCTTTTGTTAAAGATCACAGATGCTCCTGGAGTTGTTCTCCATCCTCTAGTTTGTCTCATTGATTCACATGTTTGTTTTTGTGTTACTATCATGCTCTTTATCACTGTGTCTTTGAAGTACAGTATATCTTCAGATCTTGAATTGTGATGATTCCTGCTTTGCTCTTGTTGCTGAGGATGCTTTTGCTATTGGTCTTTTTTGATGGCATATGAATTTTACCATTGTGTTCTCTACTTCACTAAGGGATGTTATTTGTATTCTTATTGAGATCTATTAGGTGTCCTGCATTAAATCTGATTCAGAGCAAAAAAAAAATTGTCAGTTGTGGAGGTATGGCCATTTTGTTTATATTGCTTCCCCCTATCCAAAAACAAGGGTAGGATTATCTTCCCCTTTCCCTTTCCCTTTGTTTTTTGAAATAGGGTCTTGCTTTGTAGTTCTGGCTGGCCCTAAACTCAGTATGTAGTCTAGGCTGGCTTTGAATTTGTGGCGATCCTAATGCCTCAGCCTCCCGAGTGGTGGGGTTATAAACTTATGCCACCACATCCAGCTTCTTCCTGTTTTCTGATGTTCTCTTTGGTCTCCTTTTTTTCAGAGTGCTGTATTTTTCATTGTAGGGGTCTTTCACCTCTTTGGTTAGGTTAATTCCCAGGTGTTATTGTGAATGGTATTGTTTTCCTAATTTCTTTCTCAGTGAGTTCATTATTGGTGTACAGGACTGCTATTGATTTTCTTGTATTGATTTTGTGTCCTGCTACACTACTGAATGTGGTTATTGTTTCTAGGAGCTTTTCAGTGAAATATCTTCTATGTAGAGGATCATGCCATCTGAAGATAATGATAATTTGATCTGTCTTCCCTACTTACATGTACCCCTTTTATTTCTTTCTCTTGCTTGATTATGATTGCCTTGGCTAATGTTTTGTTTTTGTTTTTTGAGACAGGGTCTCACTACATAGTTGAGACTGACCTGGAACTCACTATGTAGACCAGGCTGGTCTTGAATTCGCAGCCTCAGCCTCCTCAGTGCTGGGATTACAGGCGTGCGCCACCACTCCCCGTGTACCCTGGCTAATGTTTTGCATACTGTATTGAACAGGAGTGATAGTGGACATTCTTGTCTTGTTCCTGATTTAGATGGAAGTCTTTCAGCTTTTCTCTATTTAACAAGTTCCTCTCTGCTTTAACCACATGCAGGTGGCTTAAGCCACTAGTACTTAGCTGTTTAACACCAGAAACAGTCTTCAAATCAGAGCCACCCAGCTGTGGGACATACAAATGGCCCTTTGTGAATGTGCTAATAGGATATTGGCCATTTGTTTATCATAAATGGCTTCTATCAGATTGGGATAAGGTCCTTCTATATGTATCTTCTTTTGGGTTTTTTTTTTTTTTTGTCAAGAATATATGTTAGATTTTGTCAAAGGCTTTTTTCTACATATGTGATTTTTGTCCTCTTTATGTGATATATTTATTGATTTTTAAAAAACATTTATCTGTACATTTTAGTTATACATAATGATAACAATTCATCCTAGGGAATTTGTACCTGTATATGATCTATCTTGCTTCCCTGGGGTAAAGCCTGTTTGGTCATGATGTATGGCCTTTTTGATGATTTGTTGCATTGTTTGCTATATCTTGTTGAGAATTTTTGCATCTGTTTTATTAAAGAGATTGGCCTATATATAGGTCTTTTTTGGTTGGATTCTTTTATGGTTTTGGAACAGGGTTGCTAACTTTAACTTTGGGAGTAGTCCTTCCATCTCGGCTTCATTAAAGAATTTGAGGAATGTTGGTGTTAGATCTTCCCTTATTCGGCAATAAATCCCTCAGACTTTTTTTAGTTGGTAGGTTTTTTATTACTGCCTCAATTTTGTTGACTATTAATTGTATTATCAGGGTTTTTATATTTTCTTGGTTTAATTTTGATAATTCATATGTATCTGTGAATCTTTTTTTCTGGATTCTCCAGTTTATTGGACTATAGATTGTTAAAGTGTTATTAATAATCTTCTGGATTTCATTTGTCCATTGTGACCTTTTTCATTTCTAATTGCATTGATTTGGTTCTTTTTTTTTTTTTTTTTGTAAGATTGGCTAAGGTTTGGACTATTTTGTTTATTATTTAAAGAATCAACTCTTTTGTTGTTTTTTTTTCCCCCCTTCTGGTACTGGGAATCAAACTCAGGACCTTGCGCTTGCGAGGCAGGTGCAGTACCCCTGAGCTAAACCCTCAGCCCAATTATCAACTCTTCAATTCATTGATTCTTTGTTTTTTGTTGTTGTTGTTGTTTTGTCTCAATTCATTAATTTCTGGTCTGATCTTTATAATTTCTTCCTTTATACTAGCTTTGGATTTGGATTGTTCTAGTTTTTCTAAGATGTTGAGGTATATCATTAGATTATTTATTTGGGTTTGTTTTCTTTTTCTCATGTGGGCATTAATAGCTATAAAAGTCCTTCTTAAGACTGCTTTCATTTTGTCTCATACATTTTGGTATGTTGTACTGGTATTATTTTATTTTGGGAATTGTCTAATTTCCTTGAATTCTTCTATGACACATTGATTATTCAAGAGAATATTGTTTAATTTCTAGAATTTCTGTGTTTTATTTTTCCATTTACTTGTATTTTCATTGCACTATAATCTGATATTATTTATGATATAATTCTGATTCTTTTGCATTTACTTTAGCATGCTTTATGGGCTGTCCTGTGGTCTCTTTTGGAGAAAATTCCAAAATTTCTATGGTTCAGTCTTAAGTAATCAACTCCTTCACAAAATAGTACCTGATTAAACACTCTGGCAATATGGCAGATATATGTTGCTGAGAATGTGTATTGTGTTATTAGATGGAACACTCTGTAAATATGTTAGATTCACTTGTTTGAAGGTTTGGTTCAATTCTGATATTTGTTGTTGTTTTTTTTCTCTAGTTGATTTATTTGTGACAGTGTGGTTTTGAGGTCCCCCAATGTAATTATGTTGATCTTTTATATTCAGTAATGTTTGTTTTGTGAAATTGGGTGTACCAGTGTCCTACTCTTAATCATAGAAAAGAGATCTGTAATTATTATATAAACACTAAGATTAGTATATATTGACATACAGTAAATATCTAGTGAATATAACAACTATACCTCCACTAACTATCAACAGTGATAGCATACAGTTAACTAAAGATTCATAATGCTGAGTGGTTGTAGTAGTAAAGATAGAGGGGTAGAAAATAAAAGAAGAAAATTTTGAATAGTTAAGTAATGGAAGATGAGAAAGAGGAGAGAAAATTAAGATAAAGGATCCTATTAGGGAGTAAAAGGAAATTAATGGAATTAGATAAAAGTAACAGAAAAGAACAAGAAGAAAAAAGAATTTTAAAATGAAAAAAATAAAAGAACAAAAGGGAAAAGCCCTAAACCCCCAGAACCAGTGAAGAAGAAAAAGAAAGGAATTGACCCCTTCTAGTTTGTTTGTATATTACAGTGAGTGGTTTTGTTCTATAATCTGCAGTTTTGGAGTCCATCAGGTCATGGTTTTCTCTTCCTTAACTTTATGGGCTGCGGGTTTATGCCTCTCTGTCCATTCTCCCAGGCTGTGGCAGCAGTTGAAGCTGAGCCATGTCTTTGCTCACATTGGTAGATTGGAAAAGTAATTAGACCTCTTATCTATGCTGGATTTAACAGCAGAGTGAGGATTTAAGCGATCTGTTGGACTTAATGCCAGCACTTTTAGATACAGTTGCCTCTGAAAGCCACACATGCTGGGTCTGGCTTCTCTGAGTTTCACCTCTCAGAGAGCCTGTGGCTAGCCTGCTACCTGTCCTCAACTTTCTGTCATCCAGTAACTGGGAGGATGACACAGAACTCTGGTTTCTTTTGTGGTTTTTTTTATGGTTCAGTCTTAATCAACTCCTTCCCAAAATAGTACCTGATTAAACACTCTGGCAATATGGCAGGTGTAACATGGGATTCCTTCTCCACCTGTAGCTGGAAGTGTGGAAGGAGTCACTTTCAGAGTAAAACCCCATGCTGTTTTTGCAGTTTACAATAGATTGGGCTTTTCTAGGGACTAGTGCTGGTGGCTCAGTCTGTTGTTTCTTCCTGAAGCTCCCAGTGTTGGGGGCTTACTTTGTTTCTGCAGAGTCGAGTTTCCCTCCTGGGAAGCTAGAGCTTCCGGCCTGCTTTTTTTCTTTTCTGTGCATTGTGCTGCATTCCTCCAGCTTCTGGCGTTTCCAATTTTCCTGTTAGGTCCCTCTATAATCCCAGAGATCTGCTTCTTTCTTTTTCCTCTTTGCCAACATGTTACTTTTCATTGTCTGGATTCCAGGTCCCAGAAAGGCTATATTTTGCTGCTGATTATTGCTACTCCACTATTTTGATCTCTAGAATAGAATTCTATTTTTCCTCAAAGAAATAATTATTAAAAATCACACATGGAGGAAAAAACAACCTTACATGGTTCAAATTTTGTAGTTCCCATTTTAAAGTGTTAATTTACTTGAAAGTCATTGTTTGAAAGTTATATTACTACATTTTTTTTTTTTGAACCTGTACTGTGTGCAAGTTGGTGAGCATTTTGTTCTAGTACTCACACTATTCAAAAATGTTACTCAGAGTTAAAACTGTTTCTCTGGGGAAAAAAAAAATAGATTCTGTTCTTGACTGTGAGAAGCCAAGGCATTGCTTCCTGACACCAGTGTTTGTTTGGTGTGGTTTTTTTGAAACAGGGTATCTCTCTGTGTGGTTCAGGCTGGCCTTGAACTCACTTTGTAGCCCAGGCTGGGCTACATTGCCCAGCTGACACAAGTGTTTTAAGCCATCCTAGTGCTGGGGTCGTTGACTTACCAAGTTTCAAGTCAATGATGATCTAAGTGTTGTTCTGCTTAGTTAATGGGAGCCCAAAGGGGAACTGAGAGTGAGAAATAAAGTATTTGCACAGAGATAGTATTTGGAAAGGTGATTGCTGAAGTGTAGTTTCCCTCTTTGACTCTCCCTTCCTTCTCAAAGCACTCAGCCTGTTTTGAAGGTGAAGAGGGCCAGAAATGAGGAATAGGCAGATAAAAGGGGTTTGCCTTCCTTCCTCACTCTTTAGTGGACTCGTTCTTCCTATTAAAGATTCCTAATGCCACCGAATTTAGAGATCTGTGACAATTATGCAGATCAGGAGTTCTAAATGAAGCCCTCAGCAGAGCAATCCCTATCAGTGGCTCTAGAAACAATGGATAAAAATATTTAAGTTTACTTAAAGTGCCTAGAGTCTGTAGTAGTTTCAATAATAAGTGAATGAGAGATTTAGAATTGTCTCAATATATAAACCAAGAGATCTCTACTTTTACTTATGAATAAAAATTAGATTTGTTATTGATTATAACCAAATTGCCAAGAATCACAGAATTGTATAAATTCAAATGTTAATTATTATCCAAATTCAGAAACTAAATGGAGTGACGCAGTATCCCTCATTCTCTGAATTGGGAACTAAGCCATGTAAGATAGAAATGAGTTGTTTGAATTCTTTTCCATATTTTCTTTTCCCTTTTAGTACCTAGTAAAAGGAGTTCAGTTAACACATCTGTTGCATTTTAATGATTGAGGGCATTCAAGGAGGAAATGAATTGGGGGAGATTATTATACAGATAGTCCCATGTTTGTGAGTTGCAGTAGTGACTTAGGGTCATTTGGCCTAGGGTAGTGATGGTGAACTTTTTAGAGAAGAGTGTCCAAACTGCAATCCCAAACCCACTTATTTATCACAAAGTAGCAGTGCTGCAATTAAACGTGGATACTGAGGTTTCAGTTTGGAATAAACAACTCATAAATTGATATCTTTTGTCTTAAAAGAAAAATATCATGTGTATCTAGGTATCCTTCAGGGATGAAATTGGGCTTGTTTTTTCTTTTAAAAAGGTTCTCTATGTATATGTTTGATTAGTTCATGGAGACCGTAAACATAACAGAAAAAATTTTGGTATGGAAAAATAACTCATGAAATCTATATTTTTTAAGATTTGCAGCTTTCAAAATATTCTGACTCCAGGATGTAAAAATTACATACTTTATATTAAAAAAATCACAGCATTTATTTTAATTTTGCAATGCATAGTAGTGAATAGTTTCTGTAGATAAAATTAAATCTCAGGGAGGTCAAAACTATGCCTAATCTTGTTATTTTTATTCTTTAGGAATTATTAATGCTTGGAAAACCAAAAAAAGCTCGCACAGCTTATAACATTTTTCTATCTGAATACCTTTCAACCAGTGAAGGTGCTACAAACCAGGTAAATAGAGCTGCATTTGTTTCTAAGATTTTTGTTTATTTTCATTTAAAAATTACTTGGAAATTTTAGGAATTTTGTCATTTGTCAAAATTTGTCATTTGTCAGGTGGTAAAAGAAAGTTGTAGATTTATAGAAATTAAACTTTTGATAAGACCCTATTTATTGAATCTATTTTAAAGAAAAATATTGGGCTGAGAGTGTAGCCCAGTGGCAGAGCACTTTCTAGTATGTTTAAATCCCTGGATTTGAGCCCTAGCAACATGCACACATACACACGAGAAACCCTTTCCTTACTATAAACAATACGAGTCCATCATTGCCAATATCTTGCCAACTTTTAAAATTTACAAAACAGATTTTTCACATTTATAGAGATATTAATGTTTTTCTGGAGACTTCTACTTAAGCAGCTCTTAACAGTTTTATAGTCACTGGAAAGAATGTGACTAGAGCTATAATATGGTGGAAACTTGGTTCATAAGCAGACTGAATTGGACGAGAACTGAATCACATTTCTCCACAAGGTCAGCATTGAACCTAATCATTGAATTTGATTTTGTTCATGATCAGAATTGTGGACACAACCAGCTCTACTAATATTTTTATACTGTTGCTTCTTGATTTTTTTTGTTGTTGTTGTTGTTACAAGCATTGTCTTATATTTTATCACCTCGCTGTTTAAGATAAACTTTCAAATCTCATTTCACTCTTTGCATATTCCATCTTTTTACCTGCCAATATAGTTATAATTTTGGTTAAGCTGGATGTATTGGCACATGCCTGCAATCCCAGCACTTGGGAGGCTGAGGCAGGAGAATTGCCACAAGTTTGAGGCCAGCTTGGTCTACATAGTAAGTTCAAGGCCAGCCTGGATTACACAGTAAGACCTTGTCTGTCTCAAAAAACTAAAAAGAAAAAAAAAAAAACCAAAAAACCCAAAACATAATTGTGATTAGATGAGTATTGAGCATGTTTATGTATGATTATGATCCTGAGCTGTCCCATATCCTACAATTATTTTTTCTTTCTTTCAAAACTTATTTTCCCTAAAGCTGATTATGACTTGTTTTCTTTGTTATTCGTTTTTTTGATACTTAACAATAATTCAACCCCAAATTTTTCAAAGTTCACCAGCTTTCAGCACCTTGAAGTATATACTAGTCTGTCAGTTTTAGTCTGGAGCCTTTGGTTGTTCCAGCTTGGCTCTTGGCTTCCATTTGTAGTGTGTAATTAACTAACTTCCTGGGCTCTTCCTTCTTCAATTTTTTGTGGTACTTTAGCTTCTTTTGTTTTTCCTGGTTTACTCTGAGTCTACTGTAGCATTTTCTCCAGTGAAGGTGCATGGAAGATTAAGCGTTTTAGTTTTACGTGTCTGAAGGTCTTTGTTCACACATACGTTTGCAGAGAAGGTATAGAATCCTAGGATGCAATTCATGTTTCTTCAAAGTTTTCAAAAGTATTGCTCCTTTCTTTTCTAGCTCATTATATTGCTTTTGAGAAATGCAAAAACATTTTAATTGTTGGTCCTTTTCAGTATGATCTGGCTTCATTTTCTTCCCTTTATTTTGCTTTTTCTGTATTCTGACTCAATAACTTTTGTTGTTTATGTATAGATCTTCTGAACTGGTCATCTAATTTTCTTATTTTTAGCTTTTTACCACCCTAGCATATTGTATATATTTAACCATCTCTCTGTTTTTTACATAGTACTGTTGCCTTCACCTGTATCTAATTTTCACAGTGACTCTGTCTTACTCTCTTGAGAGAAGAGTGAATTTTCTGGAATCTGTTACAGATGAAGTTTAACCACTTTTTCATCAGTTCAGTGTGTCAGTCAGCCCTACCTTCCCTTCTGTTTTATGCCTAACCGGTCTTTCCCATCCCTTCAGCTAAGTAGAATTAGGGACTTGTATTCCTATGATTACCTAAACAGTTGGGCACTAATTTTAGAATAAAACTAAGGCTACAGGGAAGAAAAAGAAGCCATTTAGTAGTTTGGTTTTTTTTTTTTCTTCCTCTCATCGAGTTATTGGTACATTTTAGGTATACAGTACAGTTACATTCATCATTGGGATCTTGTACCTTTACATGACATTTAGTAGTTTTTATGTAGAAACAAAGGATGTTAATTAATGCAATTTTATAATTATTGATGTTGGAGTTTTTGTTGTTGTAATGAATAATAAAAGATTTTAATCACCAAAATCCCCATATGTACTACTTAAATATACATTGCTTTACAGGAAAAATGGAAGTCTGCAAATGAAAACTGGAAAAATTTGTCTAGTTCTCAAAAACTCGTAAGTATTATGTCTTTTAGTTTCAAATGTCCAGTTGGAATAACTATGAGAGAATACTTTAGGGCAAGGAATGATCATGTTAAGATAACCTACTATTAATAATACAGGTAGCATTTTAAATTTGCTTTCTTATTATTAAAACTAATCTGGCTTTTCTTTCTTGGTAGTTTTTGACTGCGAATAAAATTGATATTTAAAACAGTATCACTCATAATCTTGAGTGTCTACTGTATTAAATGGTAGTCCGACCTTGCTTTTACCACCTTTCTATACCTTGAAATTGTAACAACTTCATTAATATTTATAAAAGCTTTCTTTCTTTTTTCTCATCTAACATTTATTTACCTCACAAAAACATTTTCTCTATTCCCCCTGTATACATGTAGAATAGTAATGAGATTTCTGTACACAGGGACACCCTCCGGAAGTTAATTGCTCTTTTACAAATAAAGCATGTTAACAATTACACTTTTTCTCAGGTATATGAACAACTTGCTAAAGATGATAAAATACGTTATGCTAATGAAATAAGATCTTGGGAAGAACAAATGATTGAAAATGGACGAAGTGATCTTGTACGTTCCAGGCCACACCACCGAAACAGGATCACATGGGCAAAGAAAGACTAATTTGTGCTCCCAGTGGATAGGCAGAAGAACAATTAGGTTTCAATATCAGAAAATGTTGTGAAATTAGGAAGAATAATGTTGGTAAACACTTTGTATTCGTTTACTTTTTCTTTTGCTCCTGGACTGTTGCCATTTGAAGATATTTTGTGTATTTTGAAAACCCAAACAGATGAAAGTTCATACAGAATTTTATTTTGTATTTAAGAAGTACTGGTGGTCAGAATAATTCATGGGAATGTACAGTGAAATCATTTTACTTTTAATAAGGTAGATCAGTCTGTGAAATTTTTTTTTGCCAGATAACAATTATGGAAATATTCATATACTTTATATTATATATATAGACAGAGGTTTTTTCAAAATGGTCACAAATTGTGGAAGCCACACTGTACCTTTGGAAAAAAGGAACCAGAGGCTAGGTGTGGTGTCTCACACCTGTAATCCCAGCAGTCAGGAGGCCTAGGCAGGAGTATTGCTGCAAGTTCAACTCCAGCCTGAATTATAGCGCAAGATGCTTTCTTAAAACAACAAAAGAGGAACCGGAGCCCTGTGTGGTGGTGCATATTTACAGTCCAGCACTCAAAAGGCTGAGATGAGAATTGCCAAGAATTTGAGGCCAGGCTGGGCTATGTAGTGAGTTCAAGGCCACCTTGGAATATAAATTGAGAACCTATTTAAAAAAAAAAATCCAGAGCTCATTTAGGTAAATTCATTCCTAGGTATAATTCATACTATATTTAGAATTGATGATCATATATGACAAGTACTTGTTGATTTCAGTAACAACTTTTATAAAAGGGACTGAGAGATTTTAAAACCTTTTTCTCATTACCGCTTTCTTCTAAAGTAAAATTATGTAACAAATCTATGCATATTGGTTTATTTTGCATAGAATAAAAATTTGAATTTTTCATTTTATGTTTCTGAATTATACATTATAAGACTCATAGCTTTCCTTTTTTTAAAAGTAAGGAATTGTATTTTTTCTGAATTTTTTCCTGTTTCATGTGATTATATTAATTCACAAAGATTACTTGTATGGTATAATTTTTTAAATGAGAAATGCAAGAAACAAAAGCCTTCCAAGGTGGGAATGTGAAACATTTGCGTAATATATAAATATCTGTATAAGGGGCAGCCACTTAGGGGTATGGGCCAATCCATCTCATTGCCTGCCCTTCCATGGCTTGTGAGTTTAAAATTATATGTATATTTTAGATGGTTTTTAAAAAGAAAACTATTAATATAAAATTTACTGTCCATAAGTAATTTTATTGAAACATAGCCATATTCTTCTGTGTATTATGTACAGCTGTTTTTGTGTTAACAACTAGAGTTGGGTGACTGCTTCAGAGCTCTTACATGGGAAAGTTTAAAATACAAACTTTCTGGGTCCATACAGACATCCTGCCAGCCCATGGATTTTGGTATAGTACAGCATGACTGCTTTTCCCATGTATTAATGGGTAGGGTTATGTGTTTAGTTGCTTTCGGTGCTCCTGTTTTCCAGTCATTGTCACCCATGTCTAAGAGAATTGGTCATTATGTAAGCAGAACAAACACCATGTTGACCCCTATTGTTTGCAAGGAAAATAATCTTTAGTCTGAAATTATGTTGCAGATAATGAAAAAGATTTATATTATATAGAATGAAAGTCTGTTTGTGATGGCTCAGTGAAATGTACACATTTCCCAGATAGCACATATCACAGAAACCTCACGGTATTTAGCATTTGTTTATTTTCTTGGGAATGTCAAGCAGCGGTTTTCAAAATCTACTCTGCCTCTTTAGAGTAATTCATCTCTCACCAGTTCACAGGTGTAACTCAGAATTTATGTGTACTTTATTATTCAGGATATTTAGACATTATAGAGTTTTGTTGTTCGTGGATGGAAAATAAGTGAAAAGTTACAAAAGGATGACTTATTGTATACCAAACTTGACAAATGTAGGAACTGAAGAGAAAAGTGTAGCCTGAGAAAAAACACATGTATTTTCAAACAACCGTCCCCTGTGGAATTGAGTATAGGACAAAGTCTTTCATTAATGAAATAGATACTGTGGGCTTGAGTCTAGAGTAGTTTTTAAGATAAGGGAAAAAAAGGAGAAGTATACCTCTAGCTTTGCAATCTTTCGCAATTAGGTTTGTAGGATACAATGAACCCCTGATCTCCCAAGGCACCAAGAATGCTACTAATTATGTACCATCTTGAGAAGAGAGAAGATCACAACACTGGTCACTGATTATATTCTGTGCTCCAGATAAGCTTAGTGAACACCTAAGACTTAGTGTAATGATCACTGTGGAGTGAGATAAATGGGTTCTGTAAACATCTGCAGCAAGAACGTCCCATAAAAAAACATACTTTCAGGGATATTTTCTCTGAGCCCTTAGTGTACTATCATACCTACCTTCAAATCATTCTTTCCAAATACATTGGGAAGTTCAGTGGTTAGTTAGTGCTCACATTCTGAAAATATATTAGGATGAGATGTAAAGTGTAAAGAGCTGGAGTAAAACCGCTTCATAATATCAGCTTTGGTTTGGTTTTCTTTGTAAAAGAAGGCCATTCTTAATACTTTAATAAAATAATCTGGCTTCCAACTTTTCCTTAAGAAAGCGTGTGTAGATTAGTATGCTATATACCACATAGCATCTACTTGTAACAATACACAAAAGTTCTTTTGTGAAGGGTAAGGACTCAGTATCAGTAACCAACGAATGTGAGCAAAATGGTTGCTGTAGGAGCTAAAGATGAACTTTAGGAGAAGCAGCTGAAGAAAGGCTTTATCTTATAAGTAGTCATCAGGAGATTTTTATACATTTATTTATTAGAATGGTAATACTAGGTTTTTTGAAATAATTTCATGAGGGGAAAGAGGGTTGTATGTTTATTTTACTTTCTGTTTACTTAATGAGTCCTGGGCGGGTGTGGTTGTACACACCTGCAATCCCAACTCTTGGGAGGCTGAGACAGGAGGATCCCAGCAAGTTGGAGGCCAGCCTGGGTTACCTAGTGAGTTCAAGGCCAGCCTGGACTAGATAGGGAGACCCTGTCTCTAAAAATAAAAGCAAACCATGAATTGTGTACAAATTCAGCCTCCCAGAATCATGCAGTTTTACTCCTGGCTTTTTGGATAACTTCTTTTTTGGAAATGCCTTTTAAAAAAAAGATTTCTAATTGCTCTGAATGTTTATATTTAGATTTTTCAATTTTAAAATTGACATTAGTATAAGTGAGTTCAAAGTAATTAGAAAATTGTATTGATTTTTCTTACATTTACTCTAGCTAAAATTTTATTACCACTAGGTTGTGCTAAAGCAGTAGCTTTTGTACACTGATAGTATCCATTGTTTCTTTCAGTTTTTTGTTTTTGGTTTTTTTTTTTCTCATTAAGTTTATTGGTCCATTTTAGGCATGCAGTACAGTTACATTCATCATTGGGATCTTGTACCTTTACATGACAGGTCTTGGTTCTCATTTTTTCCCCTTGTCCCTGTCCTCCCTTCACCCCCTCTTCTCCTCCCCATTTACAAACACTTTATTTCCATTTTTTCATTTTTTTTCTTTTCCCTTATTTCTTTCAGTTTTACCAGTATTATTATAAGAATTTTCTTTTTCTTGCCTCACAGGCACTCTCCCCTTCATAGCACCAAGCACCAACCTATAACAATTTTGAAAATGCTATAAATGTAAACTGTGATATATTTTCAAATTTTAAAGCAGTAGTATTCTCTTTTTAAACTGAATTGTTGGAAAGAATAAGAAAATGAAAAAAATGAATAAAAAATGAATGTACTTATTTAATTTTGTAAAACTTTCCAAATAGTAAAAATTACAGAAAGATGTCATCAGCTTCTCACATTGTTCACAAAGTATTTTTTATAAATAATTGATTACAGTTAATTTAAAACACAAAACGATTCTTTTGTATATTTGAGAATATTTTACTAAGGATCTAAATACTTAAAATTAATTCTAAACTAGAATAATAAATAAGCTAAACATAAAATTTTAAGTCACCCTAACATTTAAATCAGTCTTATGTAACAGTTCCTAATTATATATATGATGTCTAAGAAAATCAAAGAGAAATATATTCATGTAGCAGTAGTAGAGGATGTCATAAATTCCTTTTGGATGTAAAATGACAGAAATGAATTTTGGGATCCCTGAGCATCCTGTAATCCATAATACTCCAGGACCTGAAACTCAGTACTGATGTAATACCACAAATGGAATACCCCACACCTAACGTTGTATGACTTTTTCCAGTAAAAAATAGGTCAACTAAAAACATTGTATAAATATTACTTTCAGGTAATAAATTATATGTGATACAAAAATATTATTTTTAGGCCTGGATCTCACCCCTGATATATCTCATCATACTGTATATGTGCAGTAATTCCAAAATCTGAAACCTGAAGCTCCTAAAGTATACCTGAGGCTAGGGGAGTAACTAGAGGCATAGCCCTTGCCTAGCATGCACAAGGCCCTGGCTCCAATCCACAGTATGGTACCAATCAAGTAATCAGTGTTACTCAGTGTTACATACATAATACATGCAATTCAACATGTACAATGTAATGGTTAAGAGCTAGATCATACGAGGTTTGGATCCTGACCAGCCCCTTAGGTACTTTGGGACTAGGAACTCTTATTTATGGTGTTTTTAAAGTATTTAATGAGAATCTAGAAATAAAATCAGCAGTCACAAGGATCTCATTTCCTGGCTTTCCCATCCCCATTTCCATCTCAGGTTAGATACTCCTGACTTGAGGCTTCATTTGTTGTGATGATTATTATATCTGTAATTGTGATTGTACCTTTATAATTTATATGTAAGCAATATATCCATAAAAGATTGAAAAGTTTCATCACAGTAACACTACTTTCCTCACCTCATCACTTTTAGTCTTTCCATAGCTTTAAATAACATTTAGATTTTTTTTCTTATTGTTCCATCAACTTTTAAAAATTTTCTCTAGACTTAGAAAGATAACTAAGGTCTTTGTTCTTCCACAGAGCTTCTTTTTCCACCTTCCAAACTGCTAGCCTATAGCATGCATCTTTGAAATTTGCCCATTTCATGCGTTATTTAATTTATTGGCATAAAAATGTTCATAGTACTCCCTTACAATCTTTTTAAATTTCTGCACAATTAGTAGTGCTGTTTACTAGTTTATTTCTGATTCTGCTACATTGAACCCACCAAACCCCCACCCCCAGGCAGTCTAGCTAACTTTTGACAATTTTATTGATTTTTCCAAATAACCAGCTTTTGCTTCTGTTACCTATTTTATTCAATTCTGTTCTAATTCATATTTCACTCCACTCAATTGCTTTGGGCTTTGTTTGCTCTTTTTCTGCCTTATTAAGGTGGGAGGTTAGGCTGTGTTCATTTGTGATCTTAACAAAGTTACATATGTGAAAGCATTGTATATTATCTTCATTTTCATCATACTGATACACAGTATTTTCTATTGAGCAGTTTTTGGGTATATTGTTTAGTAATTTGGTGTTTAAATTCCAACATATTCATGAACTTTCAAATTTTCCTTATTGGTTTTTAATTTC